GGATGTGAGAGTTGAACTATAAAGAAAGCTGAGTGCCGAAGAATCAATGCTTTTGGACTGTGGCGTTGGAGAAGACTCTTGAGAGTCCCTTGGACTGCAAGGATATCAAGCCAGTCCATCCTCAAGTAAATCAGTCCTGAATATTCACTGGAAGGACTGATAACTGAAGCTGAAACTCCAATCCTTTGGCCACCTGATGCGAAGAACAGACTCATTTGAAAAAACCCTGTTGCTGGAAAGATTGAAGGCAGGAGGAAGAGGGGATGACAAAGGATGAGATGGTCGGATGGCATCACGTACTTAACGGACATGAGTTTGAGTAAACTCCGGGAGTTGGTGACGGACAGGGAGGCCTGGTGTGCTGCAGTCCATGGGGTCACAAAGAGTCAGACATGACTGAGTAACTGAACAGTACTGAAAACGTATTTTACTGGTTAAATCTTTATATGCTAAAATTCAGGAATACTCAATTCACTTTTAAAAATTTGATTCCAATAGTATTCTACCTTTGTTTTCTCCCTGCTGTCTTGAGGAAGAGTAATCATGCATCCTAGTTTGATTGGGACAATTGACATTTGCTTTTTCAGCATAATTATTAGTCTCTTTTATTCTCAGAAGTGATACACTGAAAAAATAAATTATGTGATCCCCCTAGTTTGATGTGTGTACCCAAACAGTGTGCTTTCTGATGGTGTCAACTAAGATGTCATTCCTGCCCTTGGACACCTGGAGAGACATAAATATCAACAGGTCTTTTCAAAGGAAACCAAGAACCAGAAGGATGAACAGACTTCACAAAGGAGCTAGTAGTCAAGAGGCCATTAAAACCGTCAAATTTGAGAACATAGGACAGTAAAGACTAATTAACAACTTACCAGATATAGTTCATCTTTGAGCAAAAGCCACATTAGATAGGTGTCTTTAACTTGAAAATCAGGTTCCCAAAACAAAATAAGCAGAAATGATAATAGTATGTGATAGTAACACCCATAAGTAACTAATATATACCTATCTATAATGAAAGTATTTTCATTACTTTTCCAGACTTTTCACCATTCCTTGAAATGGACATGTATATATTTTACTGGTAACCAAAATTTTATAACTATTTTATAACTGTTGTACCTAGGTTTTATTTCTCATAATCTTTTTCTCTTCTCAAATTTGTAGCCTTAGGTGTGAGGAAATAAAGAGTTAAATTTTTAAACAGCCACTGATATGCTCTCTAAAGCAATTATTCCTTCTGTCACCAAGAGATAAATGTACTACCACAGACATTACAAATGTGCTCTTCTAGACTCTAATACAAATTACTGTCAGACCACACCACTTAAAGCCTTCTTGCTCTTATTTAGTAAAGCCAATTCCTTGTGATTTTTAAAAAATATATAAAGAAGAAAATATCTTGCTCTGAGGATTGAGAATACATTTTAACAATTTTTAACCCTTTTAAAATAACATTAGCTGCTTTTTAACTCTTTCAGTACCAAGACGCACAGACATTCTGGAGCAAGTAGGTGAGGCAGAGAGCCTCCGGTATTGGGGGAGTTTTCAGTGTCTGTTAGGTATGCAGGAAGCACCTCTAATCAATGAAAGGAACATTGAAGTTAGCCTGTACTTCAAGCCTCATGAAGACAAATTTAAATTGCAAAAAATGTCAACTAAGTTTACCTCCCTTATAGTCTCACCCGAAGCAGAAATGATCTTAGGGTCACACAGAGCATATCAATGTGCGTAGAGAATGTGAACATGATGCATGCATCTAAGTTTGTGATTTTGCACTATAATTTTTTCAATTCCCTAGGTCTGTGAAAAGACAAATCTAATCAACAACACATTTTGAGGATGCTGAACTTAAAAACAGAGCTACTTGGCAGCCCATAGGCCATAGAAAGGTGCCACAAATTAGGCTATGAGTGAAGCAAGGTTGTGAGTGAGCACTGTTTTTTTTTTTTTAAATCTTTTTAGCAGTTTATTATGGACATTTCAAATATAGGAGAACAATGAAAGAATTTTGTAATGAACACATGTATACCTACTACCTAGATTCTACATTTATCACATATATTTTATCACACTCATTTCTTATCCTTCTATCTTTCTTTAACCTCATTTTGGTTTTTTTTTTCTTTTTTTTAAATAAAAAAAACTATTTTATATTGGAGCATACTTGATTAACAATGTTGTGTTTCACGTGTTCAGCAAAGCAATTCAGTTATACATGTATCTATTCTTTTTCAAATTCTTTTCCAATTTAGGTTATCACAAAATATTGAGTAGTGTTCCTGTGCTATACAGTAGGTCTTTGGTTATCTATTTTTTTAATTTATTATTTAAAATTAAAGATGAACATTTTTAATGACAAAAGATAAAATTCACAAATATAGAAGTGTATTCATGTTAATACCAAACTCCCAGACTATCCCTCCTCCTCACCCTTCCCTTGGTAACCATAAGTTACTTCTGTAAGTCTGTGAGTCTATTTCTGTTTGTAAGTTCATTTGTCATTTTTTTTTTAAGATTCCACATGTAATTGAT